TTGTTCTATTTGTAGAAATGTCATTGTAATTTCCATGACAATGGATGCTGGCTGGGAAGATAATTTTCCTATCTTTTCTTGGCCCCCCATCTAGGGCTTTAGGAACAAAGCCTTCCTGGATTGACAAATTCATCAGTGCCCTTCTGCAGGCAGCAGATGCTAACGTGATCGCTGTGGACTGGGTTTATGGCTCTACAGGTGTCTACTTCTCAGCCGTGGAAAATGTGGTTAAGCTGGGACTCGAGATCTCCCGTTTCCTCAGTAAACTCCTGGTAGGTGTAGAAGAGCTTAGGGTGAGTTCTGGCTGCTAACGGGGGAGCAAGGGGTCAGAAAGAAGGAAGTGACATGTGAGAAGGAGCTTTAGGTGGAAGCAGAGCCACCCAGTAGTCTGTGGGTCTTCGGTTCAAATCTCAACCTAGCCGCTTGCAGTGCTGAACTTGGGCAGGTTTTTGAACCTCTCTGAGCCTCCCGCTTGCTCCTCTGTAAAACATGCCACTGCATGTTACATCAGAGGTGCCAATGGCTGACTCTTCTAGGTCCTCAAGAGGAAATGGCCATGGTCATGCCTCACATACTTTGGACACCAAAGGGAAAGTGAGTGGGTTGTCAAGGTGGGGAGCCCAGGGAGAGGGCAAGTGATTAACAGGGTGAGATTCTGCACTTTTTCCCAAAGCACGTGTGGCTGGTGTGTCATGCCCAAGACCTTCTGCTTCTGATGCCTCAGGGCAAAGTGTTATCCTTGTAAGGCCAGGGGCTGCTGTGACACAAATGTAACTCACTGTAAATGCCCGTTCTAGGTGCTGGGTGTGTCAGAGTCCTCAATCCACATCATTGGTGTCAGCCTGGGGGCCCATGTGGGGGGCATGGTAGGACATTTCTACAAAGGCCAGCTGGGACAGATCACAGGTAACATTCTTCCCTGCCCATCCTCTCAGGTTGAGAGAGAGAGAGAGAGAGAGAGAGAGATCATGACCTGGAAGAGCCTTTGCTAAGGCAGGCAGAGGGAAGTGTTGGGCCTTTGTTCTTATGATCAAGTCATCGATCACCACTGAAATTTACTTATTGTGGCCCTTTTGGATAAAATGGTATTGTGTTGTTATTGCATGATCTCTAATGTCAGTGTTAGAGGCCATGTATTTCTTTCTGAGCCTCAGTTTCTACAACTGTAAAATGGGTTGTAGCAGCTCATATATCCTTGGCCCACTATGGAAATCACCTGTAGACAGTTTTGCTAAATACTTGCAAAGTGCTGAGAACTTTATGCTTCAGGAGCTACCCTCAATCAATAAGGGACCAGAGCTGTGTGGTAAATACCCTGGCTTCCTGGCACTTCATTGAGACAATTCTGAGTCATGTTCTACAGAATCCTTCAGAGGGACCCCAGTGGGATGAGACCCAAAGAGATAATCTATTCATTAAAATTTTCTTTCGTTCTCTGACTCATTTTTCCACTCCCTCACTACGCTTTCTGTGATTTTCTCCCAAATAAGCTACTTGCACTTTAAATCCTTGTCTCACAGTCTGCTTTTTGGGAGGAAGAGGAAAAGGGATCCAAGCTAAGGCCTGGGGAGAGTAATATTTACTTTGCTCTGTTGTTGTAAGGACTAGAAAGTGTGGAAGTGCCCAGCACAAGGCCTGGCACATAGTAACTACTCAAAATATTATAGCCGTTGTTATTACTACCTGAGGATTAATATTACTGACATTAATCCTTGCCAAATGGTTGGTGTTAGCAAGCACATTTCAGAGCCAGAGAAACTGGGTCATTGAGAGGTTAGAGACAACAGAGTAGAGCTTCCTGGGAAAGGTGGTCCTGAGCTAGTTCTCTCGCCCTTGGGTCCTTGTTGGGGGACTCTGATCTGAACCGGAAGGGTTGCCCATGTAGATGTGCAGTGGGTCCATGGGGCTTCCTGTGGCTGACATGTCTGTCCTTGTAGGCCTGGACCCTGCTGGACCGGAGTACACAAGAGCCAGCCTGGAGGAGCGCCTGGACCCTGGGGACGCCCTCTTTGTGGAAGCCATCCACACAGACACGGACAGTGAGCTGGGGTGGGGGAATGAGCACAGGGCAGAGGCCAGGAGGCTGGTATTTATCTGTGTGGTCCTGGGAGGAGACCCTTCCCCTCTAAGCTTCTGTTGCAGTGAGGAGTTTACTAGCATGATCTTGAAAGTCTCTTCCAGCTCTGTCATTCTCTGAAGACTGAGATGAATGATTTTATTTTTAGCCAGCAGCAGAAAGGAGGATTCTCATTTGTGGACCAAAACTGTTTGGTCATGAGTCTCACTCTGATTCAACACTAAGCTTTGTCTGAAGTAGTACTCAGAGGGCACTTCTGCCTGGGAAAGTCTTTCTGCTTTTTCAGGGTGAACATGCCTGGCCCCAGGAAGTTGGGGCATTCCACTCCTGGGGCAGGTACTCAGACCTATCAGGACTTCCCTCCTCCCCAGAGGATAAGGCCAGCCCTCAGTCTAGTGAAGAATGAGAATTGCCCCCTCCAGTAATGAGTGGCACAGTCAAGAACCCCCAGCTCTGAATCCATCGTGACCAAATTAAGCTCTTCTGACCAGCGGGCACTCCTCCTCATTTCTACTCGACGTCAAACACCCACAGAGTCTGGTGCCAGGCCCCATGCTCAGTGTGTTGGATACAAGAAGAAATTACATTTGTCTCTGACCAGAAGAGTTTGCTGTTCAGCTGAGAGATGGCCATGTCTCATTCCATTTGGCTAGAAGCCTTCTTTTAGCATTCAGGACTCACGGATTCAGGATTCTGGAAGAAACTCATGCAATCATATTATTCAACCCTCTTTCCCACCTCCATTTCACAGATAGGAAACCAAAGCCCATAGCCCTCTGCTTAGCTATTAAGTTAATTAAACATGTCAATTAACAAGGTTAACGCCTTATATTCCTAAATTTGCTAAATAGGTGACTCATTGGTCCCTGTTTACCTGTGCTAGGCCTCTCAGTCCCCTTCAAAGTTGAAGCCACTTCCTAATGTGATTTTAAAAAAAAAAAGGCATTCCATTTGTTCAGTCGGTCTTTATGATCTATGTAGCAGGCACTGAGAATACTACAATGCACAAGGCACCAAATAAGATCCCTGCCCACATGGAACTTACAAGCCAGTCGGCAAGCATTCGTTCACTAATTTGTTCAATAAATAAGTATTTGGCACTAACGTGTGCCAGGTACTGCGCTGGTGTTGGGGATACAGCAGGAAAAAAGACGGGTAAAGGCCCTGCCGTGGTGGAGCTTACACACAAGCGAGGAGTCAGTTCCACCCTGTGATTATGATATATGGGAGAAGTGTGACTCAGCGGCAGGTTCAGGGTCTACTTCAAATAGGATTATTGAGGGAAATCTGGCCAAGGAGGTGATATTTGAGGTGAGACTTTGTGGATGAGAATGAGCCAGCACTGGAAAGAATGGGGAGAAGAACACTCTAGGGGTAGAGGACAGCCAAAATGAAAGCCTTGTGGGTGGAGACAGGCAGAAGAGCCACGTGGTTAGAGCGTAGTGAGTGATGTGCTGAGAAAAGGGAGCACGACCAGGCTGGACATGGCGAGGAGTTTAAATTTTATTCTATGATCAGTGAGGAGAGGGCGGCGATTTGGATTTCCTTAAAAGAATACTCTGGCTGCTGGGCAGAGAATGGACTGCCAGTGGGCAGTAAGGGAAGGCTCACTGGAGGGTGTTTGCAGTGCTGGCCTGGGTGAGGGGGACAATAGTGGCATGGGCGAAGGTGGTGGCAGTAGAGATGGAGAGAAGTAGAAAGACTCAAAATATATTTTGGAGGTAGAGCTGACCCGACAGATGATGGGAGAGGATGAATTCTAGGTCATCACTTAACCCCTGGATAGATGACGTTAAGCACGTAATACACGCTCAGTTGCTTACAACTGTGATAGATAATATGAACAAGAAAATCAGGGTCTTTGGCAGCTGAACCTGACCAAGTCTGAGGGGTCAGGTACAGTCACAATGATGAGATGCAGGCTACAGCCTCTCAAACTCATCTCTTTGTAGCCAGATTATATTTCTGCTCAGTCATGAAAGCACAAAAATATGTGGGAGACTGGAAATGTGGTCCCCCACACACATATCTGAACTATCACTTGTAGCAAAATAGAAACTATTCAACAAGGAAATTTACCGAACTTATTATAACATTTACTGATTCATAAAAACTTATATTAAGAGATATTTTTCTTGATTTTATTAGGCAAATATGAGTATCTTCTTATAAATTTATTCTTAGCTTCCTTTCAGCACGGCAAAACCTGTTTAGAAAACCATCTGAGGGCTAGTTCTGTAGTCTCCCAGCACTTAGGAATGAAGTGGGCACCCATTCAGCACAGAGAGGGGGTGGGCCCCCAAGGTCAGACCTCAGGCTCTGCGGCCGGTGGACCTTGCTATGGGACCTGGAAAATAGGCCCCTGCAGTAAGAGGGTAACGGGGTTCTGCCTCCTTGCAGATTTGGGTATTCGGATTCCTGTTGGACATGTGGACTACTACGTCAACGGAGGCCAAGACCAACCCGGCTGTCCCACCTCCATTTCTGCAGGTCAGAAAGCCAGAGAGAGTTGATGTGTGGCTGCCCCAGAGACTGGAATTTACCAACAGGCTTTGTGTTGAGTCAGCCAGTATGGGCCATAGGGGGTCTTCCTTACAGTATCCTTTGCTGTGTCCCATCAAGCTTACTCAGCACTTATTAAATGGATGTCTTTGGAGCCCAGGTATTCTAGGGGAGGAGTGCCTGAAATTAAAAGCCTGCTCCATATTTAGGCTCCCTCCCCCCTTCTTAGGCCCTGCTGTGATCCAACGTCACTCAAGCCAATAACTTCTCTTCTTCCCGGGCCCCACTTTGTGGCAGAGTCCACAGTGGCTATATCCTCTGCAGAGCCTCGCTGTGGCAGAAACAGACTGATGTGCCCAAAGCTGCTAGCTGAAGGGTCAATTCAGTGCATGACCATTTCCCCAAACTAACTAAATTCAAGTTCTCTAAAATTGCTTTCAATATAATCTTCTTGAATACATTCAGTGAATATGCATTTCTTCTCTTCTAAATTTATTCTTCTGGAATGTTCTTTTTGGATATATTAATTGAATATATTCTTAGCATAATTTTAAATTTATCAAAAGCTAAGCGTTGGGGCTTCCCTGGTGGCACAGTGGTTGAGAGTCCGCCTGCCGATGCAGGGGACACGGCTTCGTGCCCCGGTCCGGGAAGATCCCACATGCCGTGGAGCGGCTGGGTCCGTGAGCCATGGCCACTGAGCCTGCACGCCTGCAGCCTGTGCTCTGCTATGGGAGAGGCCACAGCAGTGAGAGGCCCGCGTACCGCAAAAAAAAAAAAAAGCAGCTAAGCGTTAAGGATTGTGTAGTCTTCTTATATTCTTATGAATATAGCCAACCTATCAACATTTCATATGGGAATTTTATTTTGATTTTTGATTACTATGTTTTTAACCTTTTCCTGCTTTACCAAAATTTTAACATTTTAAGGATTCTTTTGACAACTGTGTTGAGTAACCACTAATCCAAACTTACCAACTTTACTGATTTTCCAAAAACATGTTTCTTTTAACAATTCATAAAATTTTTCAGCAATTCTGATCAGATGGGATGGTTTGATTTTAATGGCTTTTGAAAATTTCTTTGGCATTTAAATTGGCCACTTCTTTTTTTCTTCATAACACAATCTGAGAAGGGTTTAGTTTGTGGCTCCCAGCTCCCTCTTGTAGCTAGAAGGAGGTTGACCATAGACAGTGTTCCAACTCTGGGGGAAAGGAAAGTCAGCAAGCAGCTCAGACTTGGTTCTGGTCCCAGAGAGGGGGTCCCAAGGTGAAAGAAGAGTCTGAAGACCCTAAACCCTGGAGTTATGGCTCATTATAGACCTCTTAGCCCCAGCAAATTCATTCAGTGTGAATTATTACAAATTTTAAAATAGTCAACAAAAGGGGGAAAGTGGGGGTGGGTGGTGGTGGTGGTGGTGTGATGAACTGGGAGATTGGGATTGACATATATACACTAATATGTATAAAATAGATAACTAATAAGAACCTGCTGTATAAAAATAAAATAAAATAAAATTCAATAAAATAAAATAGTCAACAACAACAATAACCAGAAAACCAAGTGTTTGTTATATTGGGACATTTGGCAAATTCAGTGTATCAGTCACTTGGTGAGGTGAACCTCAACACACTGGCTTTCTTTTTTTTTTTTAGGTTGGTTCCAATTTTTATTATTGTTGTTAATAATAATACAATGAATGTGCTTATACACCAAGCTTTCCCCTTTCTTTTTCTTTTTAACATCTTTATTGGAGTATAATTGCTTTACAATATTGTGTTAGTTTCTGCTATATGACAAAGTGAATCACCTATATGTATACATATATCCCCATATCCCCTCCTTCTTGCATCTAACTCCCACCCTCCCTATCCCACCCCTCTAGGTGGTCAAAAAGCACCGAGCTGATCTCCCTGTGCGATGTAGCTACTTCCCACTAGCTATCTATTTTACATTTGGTAGTGTGTATATGTCCATGCCACTCTCTCACTTCGTCCAGGCTTACCCTTTCCCCTCCCCATGTCCTCAAGTCCATTCTCAACGTCTGTGTCTTTATTCCTGTCCTGCCCCTAGGTTCATTAGAACCTTTTTTTTTTTTTAGAGTCCATATATATATGTTAGCATACGATATTTGTTTTTCTCTTTCTGACTTACTTCACTCTGTATGACAGACTCCAGATCCATCCACCTCACTACAAATAACTCAATTTTTGTTTCTTTTAATGGCTGAGTAATATTCCATTGTATATATGTGCCACATCTTCTTTATCCATTCATCTGTCGATGGACAAGTAGGTTGCTTCCATGTCCTGGCTATTGTAAATAGAGCTGCAATGAACATTGTGGTACACGATTCTTTTTGAATTATGGTTTGCTCAGGGTATATGCCCAGTAGTGGACTGCTGGGTCATATGGTAGTTCTACTTTTAGTTTTTTAAGGAACCTCCATACTGTTCTCCACAGTGGCTGTATCAATTTACATTCCCACCAGAAGTGCAAGAGGGTTCTCTTTTCTCCACACCCTCTCCAACATTTATTGTTTGTAGGTTTTTTGATAATGGCCATTCTGACCAGTGTGAGGTGATACCTCATTGTAGTTTTGATTTGCATTTCTCTAATGATTAGTGATGTTGAGCATCCTTTCATGTGTTTCTTGGCAATCTGTATATCTACTTTGGAGAAATATCTACTTAGGTCTTCTGCCCATTTTTGGACTGGGTTTTTTGTTTTTTTGATATTGAGCTGCATGAGCTGCTTGTATATTTTGGAGATTAATCCTTTGTCAGTCGCTTTGTTTGTAAATATTTTCTCCCATTCTGAGGGTTCTCTTTTCATCTTGTTTATGGTTTCCTTTGCTGTGCAAAAGCTTTTGTTTCATTAGGTCCCATTTGTTTATATTTCCATTTCTCTAGGAGATGGATCAAAAAGGATCTTGCTGTGATTTATGTCATAGAGTGTTCTGCCTGTGTTTTCCCCAAAGAGTTTTATAGTGTCTGCCCTTATATTTAGGTCTTTAATCCATTTTTGAGTTTATTTTTGAGTATGGTGTTAGGGAGTGTTCTAATTTCATTCTTTTACATGTAGCTGTCCAGTTTTCCCAGCACCACTTATTGAAGAGGCTGTCTTTTC